GGAATCCCATGACATAGTGCAACTCTACAACACCCTAAAAACTCGTCCGCTATGGATGTGGCATTCAACCGATACAATCTCCGGGTTCTTATAACGATCTATTCAGGCCGGTAATCGATCTGACAGCGCCACCTGTGGTAAAGATGGATGCCAAAGATTCATCAGAGCGATATTTCTCATTGTCAGAAAGCATTTTAATCGTGAGCGTACCTTTAACCTTGTACTGGTAGAAGTTGTGAAAATCCATCCCCACTCTGTAGCCCAAGTAGGAGGAACATCTCAAGCTTGACAATGCCCACTCAGATAAGTGGTATGCATGCATGTTTATATGTAAATATTTTTTTCCAGAGCCACTCTGCTTGGGACTTGTAAACACAGCTCTGGCATTGTTTTCATGGTTGAGAAAGGAAATAATATCAATTCCTAATGCAAAATCATATATAGGATACTAAAATAGCCAAATAATAATAATTACCATGCTGAGTGAAGCGAGTATGTGTTGACCAGAAATCAGATGTAAATGAAGATACTAGTATGCCAGTGCCAAGTAATAGAATTATCCATGCGAAAACCTGTTGACCACTGAACTGCATCAATAAACGACGCTGGAATGAGATTTATGTTGATTGACGAATTACTATGGAATCTGGAAGCAACCACGGAGAGTAACATAGCAGTTATGGGCAGTTGTAACTCAACTACTGACAAGTACAAGTTCAGCAACATAGGAGAAGGGTTGAAAGAGAAAAGTTAATAAATTTGAATGAAAGATAAAGCCAGATTTCCACGCAATCAATATTCAGAGGGCATCATGATTTGAAATGTAATTTCTTTACAGGAAAATTTAATTTATAGTAAAGGGAGGAGTACGAGTTCTTCCGAGCAGAATAAATATGTCTTCTGACCAAAGATCACTACGGTCTTTGTCAACAAGTATGTTCAGCGAAGGAAAAAGCCAAGTCATGACGGAAGGCTTGCATTACTAAGAGGACTGCCTGCGAAGAGACTTCATTCAATTTTAGATGATTTTTTATGATGCGCCCATAGGCTTAGGGGGGAATTGGCGACGAAGCAAATAATGGGGTGGAGAGATTTTTTATGGGCACGTTCAAAGTCTTCATGATGGCTTCGAAAAGGAACAAAAAATAGGTGGAGAATATGCTTTAATATTCTCAGATGAATGAAAATTGCACTTAACGTTTGCCCCCGTTAATCAGCTTTGAAGCTTAGTTGATTTCATCATAAGTGGAGATTATGCAGCTATTTTGAAATAAATCCCCCCTACGGAATCTTCTGGAGCTTGAAGCAGTTCTTATGAACCCTCCAGTAGCTACCAGTAACTACCTTGACTGGTTTGAACATGAAGAACTTGTTGTTTTTTTTTCGACTAAAAAGATGTAGAACGACCTGTTTTTAGCCTTTGGATTCATTGAAAAGTGCAAACCACAAAACATTCGTGAGCTCCCATTATCCGTCAAAACCGCTTTGTTTCCAGGTGGACATGAAAGACTGGGAGTGTCATGGCTCAAAGAGCTACCAGAGCGAGAAAAGGAAACAGAAAAATAATAAAAGTTTCAAAAGCCACCAGAATCTAATTACATTTGCAAAATTATTTGAAGAGCATTCGGTTCAAATGTTAAAGGTGACATTGAGGAAATGTGAATGTGTCAAAACTTATAATTAATTTGAAAAAGAATTGTAATAGATGAAAACTGATACAAGTTAAAGGCACTGGGCCTTCAGAGGGTAAAGACGCATCCGAGGAATATACATATTCTAACAACACGACGTCAAAGATTAATCACTGGATATAGGCTAAAGCCGATGAAAGGGGACGAAGTGAACCTTCGAATCACTCGAATATTAGACGACAAAGGGTGGAACACATGTTCAATGAGCGTGTAAAGTGCAAAAGATGTTCAGTTTATGACGTTCGCCGAATGACTTGCCATTTTTCATTTGACAATGAACTGGAATAACAAAAATGGTAGTAATGGAATGAGTAAAATGCGGCCGAGTACATTATTATATCATTCATCATTCGAAGTATTAAAACATTCGCTCAAAAAGCCCCAGTTACCAGGGTAAAGTGCAGCTGTAGCCTAAATAAACTCCTCGTTGAATCAGCAATGAATGCTTGACCGCTTAGAGGTTAGAGGTGGGACTTAGAAGTGCTGAAGTCCCTACTGGATTTTGCCCATCACGAATCAAGCTTGAAAGGCCGCGGTGGCGGCGGTGGCTGGCTAGATGGACAGAGGACGGCAACGGCAACGTGCTTTTCCGAGCCGCACTCCTAAGTGAGCGTCAAGTTCAATATTCCCGACTCCGCTCATTTTTGGAGTCAAGTGTATGTCTGGGTGTGTGTGTGTGAGACTCCAATTCGCCAAGGGAACAGTTTTTTTCAGTTGCACATGTGAAGACACTAGCCTGAACACTAATCTCGGTACTAAGCACTTGCCATCGCAACAGCCAGCAGCCCTCACACACAACACACGACACCTCAGCAGAGAAAGGAGGGGGGTATGGGTGTGACTAATACATGAGACTGAGAAAAGCCATTACGGCCCCATTGAGGAAGATTTATATTCAACCGCTGGAAATGGAATTGATTGAGAAGGCTGAATGACAGCTTAGAAAGTACAGTCGTTGTGCTCAGAAACATCATATAATCTAAACCTTTCTCAACAGACAAAGTGGATAATAAACTGTAAGTAATAGAAAATTGTTTTTGGAATGCTTTTCGAAATTCCATTCATGGGAAAGAGGAACGGAGCCCGATATCTTTCAGGGAAATCGAGAAATTGTAAAAAGAGGCATAAAATTAGGCATCATTCATAAGTACAAAGGAAGAATTTTGAAGAAAATCGAGGGAACTTAGCAATAGCCTGAGAAATGCTCTATAAGAAGTGATATCCGGAATGAGGAGGAATCCGAAAAATGGAAGACATTTGAGATTCATATGTCAATTAATTCTGTGATGTTCGAGAGCGGCAGAAAAAAAGCCTCTGCCTGAAGATTGCTATTCTGTCAATGAATGAAACCAATGAAAGAGACAGGTTTTTCGGAGCGCTGAGGGCCAGAAATTGGTATAGGATACCGAAACTATTAATAACAAGTATAAGACCCAGGACCATGAACGACTTCTTTCAAGTGAAGCAAACTGGTAGCAAAGTTTGAGTTTCCATTGAATCTGAAAATTGTTCCCTCAAATATGTAGACGGGTTGGACTTCTGACCAAAAAAGGTTCTACTAGGAAGGAGAGCGAAATGAAAGGAATTACCTTAGAAATTATGCAACAGAAAAAGGTATTCATAGCATTTATTTGCAGTAATCACCTAGAATTAGCCAGAACAAAAAACTCCGAAAAAAAACTTGACCACTGCGACCTGGGAAAAGATTCCCAAGCCCTGCTAAAATGAAACTGGTTTCGAGGAAACGAAGTTTCCTTGAGAATACAAATATCTGAGTGCAGGTGTGCTGTCTCCAACCTTTCCGAGGTTACAAAACATTGTTGTACTGACGTTTCCACCACTTCAACTTCTTTAGCCCTAGCCCACAAGTCAAAGCTCATTCCAGGATTAGGAGCAAGTCGATCATGGCCTTCGCAACAAAGGCTGTTCACCGCTTGAGCACCCTCAAGGGGCTATAATTATTCACAGCCCTTTTTCTCAGTGCATTCACGAAAATCTAAAAAATTTCCGGAAAGTCCATGCAAAAAGGTCGAGTTGTTTACTGGAGAGCCAAAAAGCGGTAATTGATGAGCCTAGCGGCATTATCATCGTCAGAAGTTGAAACAACGCTTGGGTGTACTCGGTTAAGGAGTTCAATGAGAACTACTAGTAACAGGTGTGACAGATTACCTCAGTTATATTGACTTAGTTACGCGGTGATCATTATTCTCATCATAGCTACGGGAATACTCAACGGAACTCAGCGACTCTTTAGTCAGCATAAATATCAACACTTTCCTCAGTGACTATCCTTCATTATACATAATTCAAAGATGATGGCCAGCTTAAGCCGCTTGAACACTCCCCATGATTGAGTATAAGTATTCTGAACACTCTTGACTGAAGTTATTATAAATATTTATATATTTATTAATCGAAGATTTGGGCATAGTTCACATGAGTGAAGTGTACCAACCAGCAATGAATCCTAACAAGAAGCATTACATTATTATACATGCGTTTAAAAGTAATATTACTCCCGAAAGTAGTAAAAATATGTGATATTCAAATATAATAGTAATATGACATGATAATAGGCACATATGAGGAGGAGCTGAGATGGTGAAGCCGCTTAATCTCTATGGCACCTCACCCAGCCTCTCCCAAGAGTTACAAATCCATCATTACCAGTTAGTAACAGGGAAGACCAGTTGAGTAAACTTTTTTTCGTATCACAAGGCGGATTCACAAGTAGCCGGAAGTACTTCAAGCAGCGACAAATACAACTGGTCCCAGGAACTTTCATTGGGAGATCAGTGCTCAAAGAGACTTGACGCGAGTAAAAGTCGTGCTCAACGTCAGTTCCCAGAGGGAATGGTTGAAATGGACGGGAGACACCCACAGATATTCACGAATGGCCGAATCAATGCTAAAGCAAAACGGCTCTCACTCCATTGCCAATTACAAACTATTAGGAAAACTAGGCGCTCCCCCTCTACTGGCAATTTACTAAAATGTGGCTGCTCTTTCCACAAAATCGTTCGCTATAGCAATGACGAATAACCTGAACACAGAGAACGTTGAATTCAATAGTTTTGATGTAAATTTTTGATGAACACGCTATAGCAGCAAGGGGAATGTGCAACAACAGCCTTATTACGTCCCTGATTCAATTTCTTTTCACAATTTAATTGAACATTCCATCTATATGCGTTTTTCATACAATTGCATTACTGTGAACGATAAAACAGCCAATTTATGCAATATCACAGTGATAATCTCTTTAATGAAGCAAAAATATATACAAACATGTAGAAAGACATAAAAATATCACGAATCCGTGTTACTTTTCCGATTTCCGCTCGTGAGGTTCTTGAAAAAAGCTTTCAGGGATGGCTTCGATGCCGACATCTTCATCGTACCCGAACATCTGAAACATAATTGATCCCGGGAAAAAAACTTTCTCAGTTTACAAGAAAATTAATTCTGAAAGGCAATGTTGTTCGAATATAATTTCATTAAGATATTACAAGGGGAGATTGCGATGAGACCCCCAGATTAGAAGCGCGTCCCTGCCCTTACACGGTTCTCGGGGACCTTTGCAGGGTTTGCAACGTTTTCAACCCAGACAAGGAGGGACGTAACATTCACCCAGAACTGGATAGACGCGACAAGCCGCGCGGCGAAATTCGTGGTAATTAAAACGACTCCGGCGCCTATCATTGGGGCAGAAATTTGAGGTGGGATAGATAAGTAGCTTCAGCTGACCCTACTTATCCAATCTACTTGAAACCCGTGCCCCAGTGATAGGCGCCAAAGTCGTTTTAATCACCACGAATTTCGCCGCGCAGTTTGCAGCGTCCATCCAGTTCTGGGCGAACGTACCCATACCCCCATTTTTCTAAAAATGAATTGCTAATTTTCTTCCCTTTTCTTTCTCAATTCAATATCTAAGCCTAAAAAGTAATCAAACCCGTAACATCTAGAATAACAACGTTTCAGGCAATTTGCCCTTTTCATCTCCATAGCGTTTCTAGAATCATACTGTCAAATCCACGATTGTAGTCACCACTTCTAGGAATCACTCTGGCTGACCTAGACAGATCGGTAAGTATTGCATTCTAGCCGCTAAACCACTGACTCAGCCCACCATCCCTTCATACTAATCCAGAATAAATTTAGGTGGGCACGAAATAGAACCGAGGTGAACAAGTTTGCAAATGGAGCCCGAAAACTAGGCAACACCAGGCATCGCAAAGGTGCTACTTCTAATCAACAAGCAATTACCAGTTAGCACAAGTATAGTGAAAACGAGTATCAGGAATCCAAAAAAGAAATTATTGCTTTTTCAAGGTGCTTTCTACCTATCTCATTCACATTCACGAGAAATTCGGAGTGAAGAAACCTCTGGGCGTCGCTGTAGTAAAGAAGGATCAGAGCAGAATCAAAAGACGAACTACTAGAGTAATGTAATGACCTTTGACTGGCAAGGTAAAAAGTAACTGTAGTCAGTAACTCCTACAATGAGAAGACCTTCTAGTTGAAAGGTCCCCAAAATTTCATTCCTATCACAGGCGCACTCAAACAGCAGTCATGTTTTTCACTACGTGACCGGTTCGATGATTGTTCGGATCGTACTACTTCCCCAACTCCCCTTTGGATGTTACAAAACAGGCCCTTCATTTCCAGTAGGACTGAAAATGTGTTCTTTAGCCATGATAGCACGACTACACGTCACTGCATATCTGTACATTCCTATTTGCAATTCAAAATAAGTTTGAGAAGTTCGTGGCATTTCACGGTTACTAGGGCAAAAGCCAATGATCACAAGCCATATCTGTCATAGAAGCCGACAGCTTACCCATACCAACGGGAGCTTTGAATCCCATAATTTTTTGACAAACGCTTTGGGACCTTCGACGATCTTGCTATCCACAATCTCATGGATTTCAACTACCCCACTTTCACTTTTATAAATCCCTTTCCTTTGACCTGAGTTTACTCTGTGTTTTTACCCTATTTACCCTTCCTTTGCCTACGGTAACTATACAAATGCTTTACGGTAACTGCAGGATCGCTAAATAGTTATCCTACTCCTGAAGTTCGTTATCGGATGTGTAACATGTACGTCACGGTATCCTCTTTTTCGATCAGCTGAGCAAGCGCCTTCTACGTCTGTCGCTAAGCTTGTGTGCCCTTTTGCTAACAGGCCTCCCACAAACTTCGTTGATCGACTAACTCCCCAAAGAGATTCATGATATAACTGGACAGCTCCGCTATGATCCGATTATACGATACGACACATCTCGAGATTTCTACACAGGAGCGAGGACAATAAGAGCTGTGAAAAACCACAGTGGACCACTAGAGCCTGGTTTAACACAAAAAAAACTTAAGATAAACAAATAACCAGAGTTTAGAAGTGCAGGAGCCATGTTTAGAACCGGCCATAAAGGCACAGTTTACGATAACTTTGAGCTAGCCGTTTTTATTCGCAGAGCGTAAGTATAGATTGGGAATAGTTCATCGGTAGTGAAGAAAGCGAGAGAATTCGCCGATTTCGAGAGGAATATGGCACCTCAAAAGTTGGGAAAATAGAGGTTGGACGAGATTACCATGACGGAAATAACATGGAAGGGGTATTCGGACGAGATTTCAGTTATTGCAAGTGCACAAAGAGCTGACTACATCAAGCCAGAACAGTACAGAACTGACTTTCACTGTCACTATGGTCATGACAAGTTGTTTGGGCTTCCTACATGGGTTCCCTGGTGATCGGTGCAGCCTCTACAACGCCGGTGAAACTCGTCCGAGGATACACACCCGCCAATCTTTGAGCCTTTATAACTCCCTAATTAGGCCGTTTTCTGAACTAATAGTGCCAGATATAGTATACGCGGAGGCCTCAAATTCATCCTGTAGGGGAATCTCAGAAACCACTCTTATCGTGAACTGCGCCTTCAAGCGTATGGATCCTAACACGTACCACTCGACTGTAGGGTACAGATAAGGCCAGAGGCACTACACCACGGTGGGGGGGGGGGGGGGGGGGGGNGGGGGGGGGGGGGGGGGGGGGGGGAGACTGATTGATCTACACCTGATCACTAGATGCATATCAATTAAAATTATCACATATCAATCGAAAATCCCCTCAAATCATTTAGAACAGGACGTCGTTAGCCACAACGCGAAAGACCTGGTAGTTTTCGGCGTTAAAATGGTAACTGGACAAGAAGTACCAAAGAGGTCAAAGCGCTCGTAACCATGAACACAGCTGTTGAGCGATTTTCAAAGTGTCATGGACCGCAAATCGTTTAAAAATGAATCCAGCTTCACGTAGTGATAGAAGCTATATTTAGTCACCAAGAAAAGGATATTCCTGACAGATAAAGGGTAAGCAACACCGAGTCCTTTGTGAGGTGGTAAGACCAATACATTGAGCCCGGAGGGATCTCAGTAACCGTTTCAGAACTATTCACCTTTGACAGATCAAGGAATAAAGGCTCCGACGCAGTTCTGCACCTTGAAATTTTTGAATGTCGTCGTGCCAACCCACGCCCAAACCTGTAGACATTATTTCAACATTTCACCGAAAATTTCCGATCCATGGATCGCGACAAGCGCAGCAAGTGAGTTCATCCTTGAAAGGATTGTTGATAGAGGCGTTCAGTGGGGCACTCAATAGGCCACAACATTGGTGAATTAATGGAAATATTATTTTTCCAAGTTGAACTAGCACGTTCAGGAAAGCCAATTACTTCAATTCACTAGAAAATGTCTGATAATGATATCAAATGCAGGGAACTTAGTGACTAGAAAGTAACTTAATCGATCACAACAATTATTGCGTGACTCAACACTTGCCATTCACTTAATTCGTGTGCACTTTTGCTTATAATTGCGGCTACAGAGAAAAAAAAACAAAGAAGCATTGGCAGGGTTTAAAGTATCTGCCATAAACCATACGGGCTATGAAACAAAAAAGCTTAAAACTTATCAAAATATTAAAGGACTTTCCGGGAGTTGATAAAATGATCTGTCTCGTTTTAATTCCAATGTCGATTGTATGCATTGAGCAGACTATTCCCAACCCAAGACGCTGCACGATTTCAGCCAACTTTACTCACCCCTCCACCTTCATTTTGAAATTAAAAAATAAGGATTTCAAAGCAGTCGAAGTATTTTAAATGAAGACAGTAAAACGGTTGTGAAAGCATACTGGGCAATGACGGCGAAATCGTCCATGAGCTCGTCTTCAAACGGATTCATCATTCCATAGTTAATCTAAAACAGATGTTGGATTTACTTTTTACTTTTGTATAATGAGGAAAATCTATTAACCCATTGGCGACCGCGCCTTTTATATTGTCCATACTGTCCATTACTTTTAATTTTTCTTATAACTGTAGTTGGAAATGAATGATTCCTGGACCGCAATGCCTCGAGATTCTCTAGAAGGCTGTAAGCTCCGCTGATTTTTGGAAACATGAAGAAATTGCAAGAACATCTGACAAATAAAATAAATACTAAAAAAGCACGATATGGTGTCGGCGGGTCACGCGGTCGTCAATGGGTTAATACTGCACGTGCGCTTTCGACAAAGGAAGATCGTAAACTTTCCAAAATATGAGAAATAAACTTACTCCATGTAAACGATCACTTGAATTTCCTTGTTCAACTTCTTCCGAGATTAGCTCAATCATTTGCACAAGATGTGAACGTGGGGCTGATTGAATTGCTATTCGGACGAAATTATGAAGTGAAATAACAAAAATTTCTCTCCACTCATGACTGTAGTACTTGCGGTATGCTTGGCAACCTTCCGGTTTTGGATGATATGGAAATGCTGAAAGAAGAAAATAACAAATACACACCATTAAGCCCCATAATCATCGGAAGTGCGCAAGATAAATTGTATTACATAAAAAGGATTACTTCATTCAAGATAATACAGACAGAGTATAAACAAAGGAAAGAAAAAAATATGACCAAATTCATGAGAACATACCAAACCATTCAGCCCATGTTGGATTATTCTGAGTTAGCGATGCACATTTGAGAAAGAATTGGTTACACTTATCCATGCGCTTACTTTCCATGCATTTGACTAGATACAATCGATACATATCAGTTTCATAGACAGTTGTCAAGCGAGCATTTTCCTAAAACGGAGTCGAATACACGGTTGAAGAGCACACAGAAATTCTACTGAATGTTTAGACAAAAAAACAGGACCACGCGTTACAAATTTTCGACGAAACCCAGCAAAGTGGGTAGTTTCGATAGAATGTTTACTTTTATTTACTTTTGCACAGCATTTTACTTCAAGTGAAGCGAACAAACAAAGTTTTATTCATTCATATTCAAAACACTGGCGACCGCGCCTTTTATACTGTCCTTACATTAACTTTTAATTTCTCTTATAACTGAAAGTGGAAATGAATAATTCCTGGCCCACAATGCTTCAAGATTCTATAAAAGGCTGTGAGCTCAGTAGAATTTTGAAAACATGAAAAAATTATAAGAACACTTGATAAATAATATAAATATTATATATTCTCTGCTCGCCAATGAGTTATGGACCGGAAGCCTGTGGATTTTATGGACAGTAAGCTAGCTAAACATTAGATTGGCAACAAATTATTAGGTTGATGCATAATTACTGCAGTTTTTTTCAGCAAATTTTACTTGAAGAAACGATAGAAATATTAAGCAAAGCATGTTCAAATAATTACTCTGGAAGTTAACCACCATCTACGTCAAGCACTGCATCCCATTTGCTAGGCAGTCGGATTCCACAGGCGATGAAGTTTCTATTCTTGGAGGCGATCCACGCCTTGACATCGGCCACCAAGCCATCCATTCCGTCGAAAAATCTGTTCGTTAGCCAATCTTTCTACGGACGATTAACACGATAGTCCATAGTAATTTCTGTGGTGAACAGGGCGGCCGTAGAAGCA